TCATGTACAAGTAAAAAAACAACACAGCTATAAAAATATGATAGGACGGAAACACGAATGTTCGGAGCAAAATACGTTTTATTGCAATATTTATTAAACGGTCTAAAGTCCGTACCAGAAAAAATAAATCAAACTATCCCTGTTGGCTAATTCTAAAAAAAAATATATTGTCATGAATAATATCGCTATAATTTCTTACATATACTCTATACTTCATTCCGCCACCTCCCCACCCCCCATGGCTACGCCCATGCATACAACAGTATTTCTTATTTCTAATGCGTGTGTAAATAATTTCTTGCGTCTGGTCACGTTAATCTGTTTGATTGAATATTTTCCGCCAGTAATAGTACGGTAATCAAATAGAAAATAAGAAGTGAGTCGTAGAACTCTGTAAAATATTTTCATTGAGGTCATAGATTAACAATTCGAATGATGTAAGTAATTGAACTATTTGTTAACTTCATACAATTACTTCGAAATTTTCTTACCCAATTTTATGAACATAGGGCTAAACATCTACGGTTGTATAACATCAACCTAGTGTTAATAACATTTAAAAAAAAGTCAGAATTTTAATTAACCTAAAGGTGCATCGCCTTATGTATTTCACATTCCTTAACTACGAAATCCTTGCGGGGGGCAATGAATTTATGTGTTATTTAATCAAAGTAACCGCTTTTAACTAGCATTTTCACTTCTTATCTCTTCATTTCGTCTTTACGCTCCTTATTCTTGGCAGCCAAGGTTGTAAGTAAGGGGCAACCCTATTCAGCATGCCACGGAATATTTAATTAGTTTTTCCAGCCGACAGTTGCCGTCCATAAATGTTAATTGCAGATGAAGTAGCAATAAAAAGCACCCCCTCCTCCCCCCGAGCCTTCGCCAACTTACCCTTCTCTTCTGGCTCTCGATTCTTACGACGCTTAACGAGTACCCGCAAACATTATCCGACGAAAACCACTATAGAGACATTTTTTGCTCGTTTACAGTCCCGCCGACATCTTGCTGTACGCAATTGCTAGATCTTCAATGTAAATCATTTCTCGTCCGAATCGTTACTTCTTATCTTTTCGCTTTTCTTCCTTACATTTCTTTTCCTTCATCTCTTTGTAAATGAAGTTCACCTTAGAATACTCGTAACTATACAATACACGTTAAAAAAAAGGATAAATTTTAGAAACGCGATAAAATATCAATTCAGTTATTAACAATAACATAAAAGAATATGTACATTTAGTATGACTTGTCGAAAAATATCTCCTGATTGAAAAATTACTTTTGCATTACTTTTTACAGCATTATGTAATCTGAAATCCAGCGATGTCTCTAAACTTTAAAGACGACACGTATTTTTGTTTGCATTCCATGAAGCTTGCTATTAAGTTCTTTAATTTCTTCCTGGGATAGGTAGATGCATATTTTATACCGACTGTTATTGTTTTCGATAAATGTGAGGGTATTTTTGATTCTAGATAATCCTGTTTTCATAAAAAATTAAAATACTTATGTATAATAGATGAAAAACCTGTTTAGCATTGTCTAAAATTCTAACATTAGAAACCAGTTATAATGCATTTAACTGATGAGTAATATCACCTAAAAACGACCATCGAATGATTATTCAGACAGATTATAGCAGATTGATTATTCCGATATGTTCAACATAACCATAAAAATAATTAAGTACAGATTCGTAAACGCTTGATCCGATGAGTTACAGCCGAGAAAACTAGAAGTTTCAGGGTCGTGTTGTCAACGCTTTTAGGCTATCCCGGCGAGCACGAAATTGTGGAAAAATCGTTTGAAGCGCCGAGGAGAGGAGAAGACAGCCGAGAAAAATCAGTGACGATCCCCGCTGGGCGATAGAAGGACGGGGATGGCCAGAGGGGTCGTAACAGCAAAGGCAGAAAGAACGGAATTTAATTAAGTAAAATTACTGTCGCGCGAAGAGGCGAGAAGCAAACGGAATGGGTATAGGAGGAAGGGGATGGAGGATGTTGGACGAAAAGGTAGCGATGCAAGACGTTACATGGGGAACGAGGGGAGGGAGTAGGACTGGCATAATGATCTTATCCCTCGATGAAAACGTAGTAATAGAAAGTAAACGAATTCAAGCCGGCCGGATGTCTCGGTTCATGCCGTTATCTTTGCAGTTTCAACACTCAGAATTTTTATGATCGTGACATATCGGTACGGTATCGTTTTAATTAAGATCACATTTTATTCCACAAAAGTTGAAAGTTTCAAGATATTTAGTCGTTGCGAACGAAAATACGTTTGCTTTTTAAGTATGGAAGAGAGAAGGCTTTCTGAGAATCGTTGGAATTACCTTGCCTGTTTCACCTAGAGTGAAACCAGGAACGCGTTCATCCCGCAGGATCCATGCAATCACGCGAAACGACCGTTTACATCTCGCTTATGAAAAATAATACCTCTGCCATGAGATGATCCTCGTCGTTTCAGTGCAACGATGATCTAAGAGAGCAAGAAAGCTCGAAACGAGTAACTGTTCTGCCCCTGAAATTCCAATCTCATACCTGAGTCACGCGCATCTTTGCGTCAAAGTGCCGAATGCATAATTTAGAAGCTTCAGGAACAAGCGATTCTGTATATAAAATGTGGTTAAGCCTGGAGCACACCTTTCCAAGCACGTTTACCCGATTACACTACCTAAATATTTCGTTCAGTCTTTTTTAAGACTCTTGTAACGAATTTTGTTAGTATGCTTTAGAAGTCTGATTAGCAATAAGTTCTAAAATAATAGATGATAATATACAGGTTATTAATAAAAATGTGAAACATTTTCACAGGGTGAATCCGAATTATTCGTTGAAAAAGCGATCGAAATACTTGAAAATTCGTCCGACGTGACGGGTTATTCTAATTTAAACGGGTGCTCTTGAACTGTTTCAAGAGTTAGTTTCATTCTTTTCATGTTATTTCATTCATTAGTTTCGCCTGGTCATTGATCAAGCCCGCATACCAGCTGAAAAAAATTGGGTTTTGCCCCACCCTAAAAGAAAAAAAATTGGATTTTTCCCCCTCCCCCTCCCAGAGTAACAAAGTTTTTGCGTAATATTTAATATTGTAGTATAATTTCAAACACGACCAGCAGCCTCTATTAACAAAACGCATGCAATTTCAACGATTTATGACTTTAGAAACAAAATAAAGTGTGTCTGGCTACGTACAGCTTTTTTCACTGTGGCAGTCGATGTGCCAATATTTTTGCCCCCCACTGATAACCTGGCTACGCCCATGACTAAGCATACAAGCATCATAAAAGGCACATTCAACCGTCAAAGAGAACACATCTATTAGTCAGAGTAAACATAACTAGTACACACATACACAGACATCAGATTTGTTTCATAGGATTATAGAACATTGGATATCGTTTCTTTAATATTATGTGAAGCGCATTGATGTAAACGCAATCATTCCCGATTTCCAAGATATTCACGTGTACTTAGTCCTAATGTATGATGACGTACATTACCAGTATAAACTGGCTCATTGTTAGAGTCATCCAACGAAAGTGCGTGCCTGTTTACAATCGGTCTTGTTAGATCTGTGGACACGAAGATGAGCATAGCTCGTTGGCTTAGACTGTGCAAACCGCGCAAGTCGATCTTATAGCTGGATTTCGAGGATCGATGGACCACTCTGAGCCCTGGGAATTGTGGAAATTAACAGAGCAATCGATATTCTCGTCTCAATATAGCGGATCGATAACTTGATCCTGAAAGCGATTATTTATTAGAGGATTATACGTTATTAGAGCACTCGATCGTTCACAACAAGTTAAACCGATGGTATTTATAATACACTTTACTTTTTATGTCAACAAATTTGAAGTTGAAGAAAGTTTGAAGAAAGTTACTTATTACTATGCATCTCTAAGTTACAGAAATTCCAGAAACAATGCTTGTTGAGATCATACTTTCTACCACACGACTACAAATAACCGATAAAAAATCGATCAACATCAACAAGCCATATACTGACTCTAGCATTCATCACGTCACTAGCATCATAAAAATATAATATCATACGCATCAACGTAAAGTCCGACTATGCAACCACCACCTGGTATGCCCTGGATAATGCAAATCTTGGCGGCACTACATTTATGGAAGCTCATAACTAAAAAAATTTTCATCTAAAAAGGTCGTCAATAGTATTACGGTAAGGTTTCCTCGACAGGTCTAACACTGCATACTAAAAAATGAGGAGCTCCATTTAAAAAAATTATGTTGATCTTGACGTGACCTTGATCTCACCACTCAAGGTCAAACGAGTACACCCCTTCAATAGAACTTTTAAAACCTTAAACCTTTATTGGAAGATTCTTTTCAAAAATGTTTAATTTTTTAGATATCTAACCGCTCTGGGACTTCGGGATAGAGTACATACATGTATACAATTCGTATCAATTTTGTAGAGATAATCTTGTTAAAAACATTAACGATTCGTGAACGTTTTCAATCCCAGATAGAACATTTAATTAACTTAATCTCCGTGTTCCTTTCGTGTGCATTTCATATTTGTCAAAGAAAACATTCAAGAACTCTTCAAAGATATCAAGAACAGAGCTCAATCCGGAAACTTAATAACAAGGGTAGTTATCTGAGTACGTAGATGATCTTTGTAATCAAATACTAAGAGTGGAACATTACCACTTAGGCGCTGTTTGTTGTTCGTGTCAATCATAACCACAACCATAAAATCCTGTTCATCACTCATTACAGAATCGTTCTCCACAGTGTCACAGAAGCCTAGACAGACTTTCCTGGAAACAAATAACGTTAGGGCTGCCCCTAAATGGTACCGAAGAATATTCTCAGTGTCGCACGAAGAAAGAGTAGGAAAAAAGCACCGGCTGTAGGATGAGCTACCGTTCTCCGAAGAGACGAAACCATATCGAATCGATCTGTTCTATCTGAGATTGTATGCAGCGTTAATGAAGATAGCTGGTAGGTGTGGTAGTGGCCTACCTTGGTCGAATACAAGGCAGCGAGTGGTCTTGGCAGCGAGTCCCGGGGGCAGAGCGAATCTGTAGGCTGGGCCCAGCGACAACCCTAACCCCAGCCCGAGCGCCTCCGCGCCGCATCGGCCCCCGAACACAGGCCCCACTAGAATCACCCACATAACAACGGTCATCAGTCATCGTCATCATCAGTACAATACTTATCATACATATTAATACAAGGTTCATGCAAATTTTCTCGTTCAGAATGGTTAACCTGTAACCACTGACAGATCTAATACCGGGCAAATATCGAAATTCGTTGCGCAACATTTGAAACTGATTATGTATTATGGCCATAAAATGAAAAACGCACGTGACTAACGTCATATCGTTTACTATTTTAGTGGAACTTGTTTACGCGCTCTTACGTTAAACTATTAACGTTAGATACTCTATCGATATGTAATCTATGAATTCTATGTGATAGAATATTGATATTGTTGAATTTCTTCGTTTATTCAAATTGTATTAAATCCAATTACGTTGGTAGTCCCCTTCAATCAGACACGCATCATTTCCCTATGGCCAAACATTATTTTTTAACCTGGTGTTCCGATATTTTGTTTTCTTCATTTCACACTACTGTACAAAGTACTCGCTAAAGAAATTACTCGTAGGAAGGTAATTATGCAATGTATTATAATATACAGAAACGGACTTTTTTCGGTAGATTAAAGTATGAATTAAAGTAAAGGAAAAGACGTGCCAAAAGTAGATTCCGCAGTTCAATCGCACGGAATAGAACATACACAATACCTAAGCCACAATCTAAATTCATGTTCGGGGAAGATAAATGCATCGAGCATAATGTCGGAAGCTTAACGCTAGTTTTAAATTCAGCCTTTGAGATGCAGAGTACGGAGATCCTTCCTCCTGGGCCTTCTCCTCGAGATCTTTGACTTTGGAAGCTTACACGCTGATTAAGACACCCGATACAATTAGGCGGCGAAAAGAACCTCAAAAGACGCCTTTCTTTACCTTCTCCCTGGTCCGGATGTAAACGCTTAAACTGGTGCCTCAAAACAGACAGGGAGGATCTCTCCGATGCGAAAGGATGAGAATTTCTTTAAAAAAATCATTCGTTTGGAGACAGACAAAAAACACTTTTCCATTTGAAATCGTTAATTTGAGATATGAACAGTTTCAAAACTGACCTTAACAGCGTAAATTTTATTAATCGAACTTAATGAAAATTAATTAGGGATTTTTAACGAAAGTAATAATAAACTTCGTGCAATGATTAATTTCTATTTCAATTATCAAGGTCGTCCAACATTCTTTCATTACTACTTGCTTTGTAAAGAAAAGAAAAAGTAACAATTATCAAAGTAAATAAGATTTGTGTTTGATGCTGGTAGTGTTCCATTAGCCGTCGCATTAGCAGAGAGGAATTCGCCTTTTTGTTAGGTAAACCTTCGACAATATACAAAATTCTATCGTGTTGGTAATCGTTGTTGCTCATGCGGCGAGAAAAATTGAAGGTATCATGTGTAGATACGATAGTAACGCGAAACGGGCGAACAGGATGATAGAGGGTGTCAGGAATAACCATGGTGAGGAGGTGATGTAGAAAGCGAATCAACTCGCAGTACAAACAGGCAAGGAACGTCAGTCCTTGCACCGAAGCTGAAGCAGCGAGTCTCGCTTTCTCGATGAATTATTCAAGGCTTCTTGATCCGGTCTCTGAGCGGTATAAACCGACAGACGGATATTCCCGTCCTCTCAATCGACGAGCTACCGATTTTTTCTTTCTCCCTGTTCCCCTTCTCTTCATTCCCCTTCGTTGTGGCAGTTCTTTCCCTACTTTCGAGTATGTTGACCAGATTAAGATCGCAGGATCGACTGTCAGCTGCTGTGATCATGATGCGCAACAATCGCATGCTTTGAAATCGTCTCGTGCGCCATGTTAGGCGATCCCCTGTTTCCCCGTTGTTTCTGTCGTTCTTCTTCTTCTCCTTCTTCTTCTCCACCCCTTCGTTTTTCTTCATTTATGTAGACGCATCGATCGTCGTCGTTGATCAACCTAGAGATGACTCGTCGTTATATTTTCAAGAAATTGGACATTCCCATTGGGAATGCGAAAACTTTATTGCGGGTAATTGTTACATTCAAGCACCCTCTCTTTCAAAGACCGGATGAGGGAGATGTACACAACAAATTAGTATTAATATTTATATTTGTTGATATTTAAAGTATAATGTTCCTATATTCTCAAGATTTGCTTATGTTACTGCTATTTTTAATATATTTCCTATAGTTTAAGTACTCGTAGTAATAATAATGTATGTATATACATATATAACTATATATACAAATAGATATATATATATAGTAAACAAAAGCAATAGTTCTATTAATATTAAACATTTGGATATCGTACGGTATGACTAAGACATCATAACGAAACGAAATTTTGAGAGGAGAAGGCCGAGAGGGAGAGAACCCTAAATGTGGTTTTAGCTGAGCATCTTGATCAGTATCTGAGATACTAACAACCTCAGATCGGGATTTTTTTTTTTTTTTTTGGAATTGCCTCTACAGTTTCGCCAGTTTTTTTTTTATTATTTATGTCTCATGCACACGTTCGCTGTTTCATCTTCCGAATGCTTTGGTTTTCGGAATATATATTAATAATGGTCAATTTATAAATATGTTGTTACTACGGATTTTATTTTTACAAGATCTAACAATGTGATGAGATTCCACGTGAGTGATCCATACGCCATACGGCGTATGGAGATGCAAAAAACCACGAATTCATGTGCGTAAAGGGGCGAGGTCAACCTTTCGCAAGAATGACCAATGCGTCAAGGAAAGAGGGAGCTCAGTTACTGTAAAACAGAAGAAGTAGTAGAAGACGAGACGTTCAGACGTGGTACTGGAGAGTGGATCGTGTTGCGGCAAGTTAGTTGGTTCAGTTCCCGGCGTGAGATCCAACGCTACAAGTACGAGATCACAATGCAAAAGATATAAAGAGAGCGATACAGGCTACAACAAGAACACAGAACAAGGCAGAAACTGACGGTCAATAACAAATCATTGATGCGACCGATAAATACTTTGTGTATAATCCTTTTGATGGATAGTCAATTTCTAGCTCGATAAAGAAATGAATATTTTTTATACAGAATCATAACCAAAGATGAAAAATGGATTTTATACGATACTGTAGTGTGTAAAATATCATGGTGTAGTAAAGGTGGCTGATCCTTAACAACAGTAAAGCCTTCGTTACATGCCAAAAAAAAGGTTGTTTGTTGCTGGTGGTACTGTAGTGGAGTGGTTTATTTTGCTAAAGCACAATCAGACCATCAATTCGGTGTTATACTGTCACCAGTTGAACAGATTAAACACAGCAATTGAAGAAAAATTCCCGGCTTTATTTAATCGCAAGCACATCGTTTTTCACCAAGCAAGGCCCCGCCATATGTAGCGATGAGTATGCAACAAAAATCACAGGACTTTGGATGAGATATTTTGACACATCCACCATATTCCCTGGATATAGCACATAGTGATTATTGGTTATTTCAGTCATGGCAAGCTTTTCTTCGTAGTAAAAGATTCAGTAATGTTGACAAAATTGAACGTGCTGTCGATACCTCCTTTGCCTCTAAATGTATCGAGAAGAAATTTTTAAACTTGTCGACAGGTGACAACAGGTTGTAAACAATAATGGCAACTATATTATTAACTAAATAAAATAGTATATTTTACGAACACAGCGTTTTATGAACGAAACTCCAATATTCCCATTACTTTTGCATCAACCCGATACGTATGAACGTACTTACTGACTGATATGCCATTTGTGGAACAGTCCATATATAATAACGATTTTCAATTAAAGCAAATGTATTAAATAATACCCACACAATTATGATTAGACCTGAAAATTTAATTATTTCACATTACTGTACGCGAGATCCGTATCCGATGTCGTAGAGTAAATAACCAAACGGCAAAGGATACTAGTTTTTCGATTAGTTCGAAGTGAGACTGATGAAATGGAGAAGAGGAAGGTGAACGGGAGCCATCGAAGCTGTTGGATGATAATCGACGTCGATTTTCACCGTAACAGCCGGCGTGTATCGATTGTGGAAAGACTAATGGCCAGCGTGGTTAACCGTATTATCCCACGGCGGAAGTCCGCCAGTTCAAACGGGGACATAAATAGCGGCGGCTCCCGAATCGTCTGTTTCAATATTAGTCTAACAATCACGGCTACCGGATACACCGATACGAACGTCACGCACACAACTACTGATATGACGTATGAAAATATATGCACAAGAAATATAGAAACTACTAGGTATACACTTAAATGTTTACGCTCAAAATGTAAACGAATGATACACCGAAATGTAAACGTGCTTTTAATACAAATTCGTTTCTTACTTCAAAGTACCGATTTGTCAAATTTATATTCAAGATAACATAACGGTTAGTACTATCCTCTCTAACTGTGTTTCATTTATTTTGAACGCATAATAGGTTTAAGGTTTGAGAGAAGAAATTTATAAATAGTAATTATTACAAGAGAACCAGTTTTGTACAAGAAACAGGATATGCGATACCAATTTCATTGAATTATATCGAATATTATTAGAAATAATTTCATTCACGTGATACCAAGCCAGAAATGTAATAAATTTCTGATAGTCAAGTGCAGGTTATAGAATCCAATTATATTATATAAATTTGAAATGAATTACGATTCCAAATGCTCGTGAGCTACAAATTTCCATGTAAAGAAGATTCTTAAGGCGATTCAATCCTCTATATTGGGGGTATCTTGCAGCACCGGGATGGTCGAGAAGGTTGTTGGATTCTTTATTAATTTTACAACTTTTTCATAAAGCAACAAGGATCCTGGATGTGAATATACTCGCGCATAGTTTAGTGAATATTGGCCGTCCGTTCAAGAGAACCTCACCGTTCGCGTCCCGTATCCTCGGCTCCAATCTTCGTTGCTCAAGATGGATTTTGATCAGCCGGTTCCCTTGGTTTTTGATAGAAATTCCAAAGATTTTTCGGCCTCCTGATTTCTGGCAACCCAGCAGATTGGCGATCGAGCGAAAGCGAAAGTCGACGGAGGATGGC